TTATGTTGCCAATAACCAAAATTACTTAGGGTACAGTCCACCGCAACCAAGCCAATTGAAAGAAACCCAAGAAGATCAACAACTTTGCTTAGAAAACCAATAAACAAAAGTTCGCCACCGAACAGGTGGAGGTTGCAGGACCCGGAAATTCTTAAGTTTAATTTACATCACAGTTTGGGAATTTGAAGAAACCCAAGAATAATCTTAATGGTGTTTTAGAATCTTATTTAAAAAGTTTGGTGCCGAATATGTTCATGTTGCAACCGTCCACAACAACTTAGGTGCGATTCACAGGAAGCTAGGCGAGTTTGACCAGGCTAAGCATTATCATCAACGCGCTTTACACATCTATGTAGAGAAACTTGGCGCCGAACATGTTGATGTCGCAACTACCTACAATAACTTAGGCCTAGTTCACTTAAAGTTAGGCGAGTTTGAGCAGGCTAAGGATTATCATCAACGCGCTTTAAACATCTATGTAAAGAAACTCGGCGCCGAACATGTTCATGTTGCAACCACCTACAATAACTTTGGTGAAATTTACAGGCAGTTTGGTGACCTTGAGCAAGCCAACACGTATCATCAACTTGCTTTATCCATCTATGTCAAGAAGCTCGGCGTCTAACATGGTGATGTTGCAACCACCTACAAGAACTTAGGTGCAATTCACTCGCAGCTAGGCGACTTTAAAAAAGCCGAGGAGTATAATCAACGAGCTTTAGTCATTTATGTCACGAAGTTTGGCGTCGAACATGGTGATGTTGCAAGTACCTACAATAACTTAGGTGAAATTCGCAGGAACCTAGGTGACTTTCAGGGAGCCGAGGAGTATCATCAACGGGCTTTAGCCACCTTTGTCAAGAAGTTCGGAGTCCAACATGGTGATGTTGCAACCACATACAATTACTTGGGTGAAATTCACAGGAGGCGTGGCGACTTTAAGCGAGCCGAGAAGTATCATAAACATGCTTTAGACATTTATGTAAAGAAGTTCGGCTCCCAGCATGGTGATGTTGCAACCACGAGCAAAAGCTTATAAGTGACATATATTCCTCATCTAGGCGACTTTGAGCAAGCCAAGGAGTGTCCTCAACGTGCCTCAGGTATCTGTGGGATGTTCAGCGCCGAAAAGTAATGTTACTGTTGCAGTGAACTGCCTCAACTTAAAATGTCTTGCCAAGCAGTTATTTGACCGTTAAAAAAAAAACAAGAACATCTACCTACAGTGGAACCTCTGTTCAAGAGACACACACGGGATCAAGGCAAGTGTCTCCTGAATAGAGGTTGGGCTGGGATTTGTTGACAA